CTGAAATTCATTTTGTGCCAAATTTGGATTAATGATTTCTCGTACATATTTCTCTCTTAACCCAGGACTGGATGTTGCAACCATAACAAAAACTGTTGTTGAAAACATCCGCAAGAAGGATGCTGGTGAATTCAGTCACCATGACCATGTGTTAGATACAGGCACAACAGAGGTGAGTACACTTCATAGGGCAGACATTCTAGTTTGCAATCAGCTACAGTCTTTTACCATACATGATCCATATTTCCCTTTCAACCATGATGGACATTGCCTTGAAAAAGCCTGTGAGGGAAACACACTTCCCATGTGATCAAGTGTGAGAAGTTGAATTGCACGAATTCATAACTTCTGTTTCTGCATCTCCTTGATGTTCTGAGCTGAGGTGTGTTGCTCAGCAGCATGTCTGTTTGCAAACAGTAAGTGAAGAGAAAGCCCATGAAATTAGTATAACAAAATATGTTGTAGCTGAGAGTAGGATGTTGTAATTTCTAAGAATGATGAGGATTCATACTTTGTATCTCAGATAGACCTTATTAGATACTCAGGTGGTGCACTTAACTATGACAGACGTTGCCTTTACTGACAGTTCCCTTGTCATCACTAGCGAGCGTTGGTTGGTTCCAACTTACCACTTCACTGACCTTCAGTGAGGCACTGTTAATAGGTTGTGTTCAGAGTAGTCTTTGAGAGCAACTGACAGTTTGCAAGCCTGTGGCAATTTTTTTGCTGTTAGTACAAAATTTAAACTCTGTAATCTAATGCAAGGGTTGGAAAACTGGCTGCAGGCTGATGACACCCCTGAAGTTTGTAGCAAAGCTCCATAAAGCACATCTGTATAGTGTATTCTGTACAGTTTGAGGAAGATACATGGTAATCCATAAAAAATGTTGAGAGCTGATGCTCACCCATTGGTTTGAATATCTTGGGAATACTTAAAACTTTTTTTATTATTCTAGATGGCAGAAATTGTTTCCTAAGCTTTTGATACTGAAGTTGTGATAAACGTGATGCTTGTTAGTATGTCATAATGCTCTCCAAAGATCTCTGGAAACTTCTGTATTTCATTGACCAGATTTAGTGTGTCTCATGCCACCTGTACTATTGAAATGTTAGTGAATCCACATGTTGTTTTTTACAGGCAGATCGGCTGAAAATTGATGTAATTGACTGGCTCGTATTTGATCCTGCACAGAGGGCAGAAGCACTTAAGCAAAGCAATGCAATCATGAGGAAGTTCTTGGGTATTAAACTTTACAAATACTGCACATTTTTTTAATGTTGTTTTTGTTCTCATTGGCTCTTGGCACTACATTTGATATAACTTTGAATCCAGACTTAAGAAGCATGGGGTTGTCAGTTTGTAAAAAATAAAGTATGGAAATTGCAAAGCTGTTGATGCTCAGTTCACATTCTCATAGCATCCAAGAAACATGAAGCTGCAAAAGATGTGTTTGTGAAGATTCCCCAAGACTCTATAGCAGAAATCTATAACCAATGGGAAGAACAAGGAATGGATACTCCATTACCAGCTGAAGATGATAATGCTATACGGGAACATTTATGTATTCGGGCATATTTGGTGAGTTTTAGATAGGCTGTATTCCAAGCTATTACATAGAAATAACAGTGGTTTTGCCTTTGTGGTGAAACTAAGCTTTGTCCATTTGATTTAACTTCTGATTTCTGGGTGCGCTGTATCTGTGCATTTCATGACACTCTTCTAATTACCTGGGTCAAAACTGTCCAAATGCTGTTTCCCATGCAATCCAGGAAGCCCATGAAACTTTTAACGAATGGTTTAAACACATTAACTCGGCTCCACAGAAGCCTTCCTTGGTACCACAAGCAAGTTTCACTGAAAAAGTCGCCCATGAACATAAAGAAAAGAAATATGAGGTAGGTAAAAGTTGGAGTAATCTGCTATAAACATTTATGTTCGTGCTTAGGAGGCGGTCTTGGTTTTATGAAACAGTGTAGAAGACCACTAATTCATATTGCTTAAAAACTATAATAAATTACTCTGTTTTTATGTTGAAGGAATATGAGACAGTAAAATAGTAATGCCACTGCACAATAAATTATTGTGGGTTTTTATATATGACTCAGCTTTACAGACAATATTGTAATGTAATAGTAATTACTCATTATCATGTGTTGAGTGTCAGTGTTATTAATAAGTCGGAGTACTTGATTTTGCTGTGAAGTCCTTTTAATTCTTGTATTTGTCATGTTATTCTCTAAAACATGTTGCATTTCTGTTTTTACCAAAAGTTCTTTTTTGTATGTCTGTCCAGTATGAATGCACTGTATTTACTTTATATAGGTATTTGTTTTACAAGCATGGCAGTGTAAGTTTAAAAATGTCTTCCTTTAGAGGCTTTGCCTCTGAATAACCTGCGTGACTCTCTGGGCAGGGAATTAAGGAAGGATGGAAATTGCTGTTAGCAGCAGGCTTTTAGGTTTTGGCAACTGGTTGAAGATTCTAATTTGAATTAGAGCTGCACTGGCTTTGCATGCTTGGTGAAGAGTCTGAGTTAAAACAGCCTTAGAAATTATCCTGTTCTGCAGTAGTTTATTTTTGTTTCTTTGCCAGATGGACTATGGTATTTGGAAAGGCCTCTTGGATGCTCTTACAGCTGATGTGAAAGAGAAAATGTACAATGTGTTGCTGTTTGTTGATGGCGGATGGATGGTTGATGTCAGAGAGGTAAAATTAATCTTTATATCATGGCATGGTATTGGATTGGACCTTTTGACATCTTCAGTTTGACGTGCTTTTGTTTGCTCTGTTATGATTCCCTCTGACCTTACTGTGACTAGTTACAGGTTGCTTCCCCTTCAGCTACCATGTAAATCAGACCAGCCATCCAGTCCAGGCTGGTTAGCCCAGTTTTTTGCCTCTGGCGCTATTAATGACGTGGTTGTGCTGAGTTGTCCTGCAAAGGTAGGTGTTGGTGGTACTAACATGTTGTTTTGCTGTGGTAAGGACGCCGAGGATGACCCTGAACGAATGCACCAGATGATTCTGTTGCGAAAGCTGTGCCTGCCCATGATGTGCTTCCTGCTGCACACGGTGTTACACAGCACTGGGCAGTATCAGGAGTGTCTGCGACTGGCTGATATGGTCGCTTCTGAGCGACACAAGCTTTACACGGTGAGTTATTGAGAGCTGCAGACAGCTTGGCTTCCATTTAAAAGCTCTGTGGGTTGACTGTGGGAAAAGCTTCTGTATAGAGAGGAAGATGCCATATGTTCCCTAACATCCTAAGTTTTTCGCTTCACATTCACTGCAGTAGAAAAGTGTTTCCTTGTATACTGAGTTTAGGAATCAAAGAGTTAAGTTTGAAACACTGAAGAGGATGACAGTGTTTTGACAAGCAGCTCTTCTGAGTAGAATCACAGAATTGTTTTCATTGGAAAAGACCTTTCAGATCCTCAAGTCCTGCTGTTAAGCCCTGTCCCCAGGCAGCACATCTACCTGTCTTTTAAATACCTCCAGGGATGGTGACTCAGCCACTTCCCAGGGACCTTGTTCCAATGCTTGCCAGCCCTTTTGGTGAAGAGGTTTTTCCTAATGGCTGATTTAGTGCGGTTACTCATTTTTGGATGGGGGCTACTGTATTAAAAATAAGTTGAACTGTAGAATTGTAATTGATCTTTTTATTTCCGTTACATTTCAGAAGATTGTATGAGCAGGTTCTGGTTTGGAGCAGTTGGTTTACCTAACCTTCTGTCCCTCCTCAAAAAGATTTATCACTAAAAAAATAAAACAAAAAAACCAACACAGCCAAAAAAAGCTAAACCGCAACACTCCCTCAAAAAAAAGCAAGGATTAGAAATCTGCAAAGAAACACCAAGGCTCAGAAAAATCCTGTGGTGCATTCCCTTGGATTGGCTTAAGATCTCTGCCAGCAATAACAGGAAAAATATTTGGCTATTTAGCAATAATTTTTGTAGTTGTTATGAGACAGAACTATCTTGAGACTACCTTCAGGTTTTGGATACTGCAACTAGCTTCCAGTTCTTTGCTAAATGCTGTTCTGAAGTGTCTGGTGTTTACCCTGCCTTAAATAGAAAGGACTTTAAAAAAAAGGGGGGGGGGAAATGAAATTACTAAATTAAGCATTTACTTTGATACCAGTGATATTAATTGCAAATAAATATAACTTCATTATGGCTTTTTGTTTTATTCTTAGGTATTTTCAAAAGAAGAACTCCGAAAGCTTCTACAGAAGTTGAGGGAATCTTCTCTGATGCTTCTGGACCAGGATCTTGATCCTTTGGGATATAAAACTCAGCCATAGAATTTCATGTGGATACCTGGAAGAACTCCTAAACATGGACATTCTGGTTATAAAAAAAGAACAAAACCATGACTGTTCTGTCTTTGGGGGGAAATCCAACCCTCAGATTTCAATTTCAACTTGGAAAAATTCTGACCAACTTCAGAGAGGCTATTTGTTGTACAATCTTTTTTTTATATATATTTTTTTTCCTAATAAAAGTGCTTCACAAACAGAGAATGTTGTCCTAATCTAAAAATGCCATCATAGAAATATGGTGATGGTATGAACCTCCTTTATGTCTTTGCTACATCCTGAGGAGCTGCCTGTAGCCTGGAAACATTGCTCAGCAAGAGGAATGCACAAGGGTAGAGCAGAGACTGCAGGAGGCTGTGTGGAAAGCAGGGGAGAAGAAAGCAGACCCAGGGAGCTGGAGGAAAGGAGCATCAAAGGAAGGAGGAAAGTGTTGAGCTACTGCCAGCCCTGCAGAAGAGAAGGAAGGGCTTGCTTCTGGGGAGTGTGCTGTTCTCACCTGCACTCTGTAGTTGCTAAACTGCCAAATGAGATGCAATCCTGAGCTGGAGAAAAGGTACCTCGAGACTCCCACATCGGAGAGTTTGTCATGTATTTATAAACCTTGTTCTGGCTCAAACCAGGACACTGTGTTTACATGTGTAAACATTTTTACCTGCTTTTCCCTTAACTGTAGCGCACGACATGAGCTCCTTCACCTGGTCGGTGTCTTCTGACACTCGACAACGAAGGTCACTTGTGCTACACCTACGTGTACGTGTATTTTCATGTGTGTGTTTAAAGAAATCCCGCCTCCAGCTGCTGAGAGGTACTTGTACCTGGGAGGGAAGGCGTTTCAGCGTATTGCTGGGCGTCGGACAGAGGTGCCTTTCGTGGTGCACGTTCCCCGTGTGCTGCCAGCTCAGGATTTACCTGGGCACTTTAGCAGCGTACGAGAGAACAGCACACGCCCTGCAGCACGTCCTCTGCGGCGCGGCCGCCGGCAGCTCTTCGCTCTCCCCCTTCCCTGGCTGCTCCTCGGGCTCTGCTTCCCCCTCTCCCGCAGCCTCCTCCTCCCGGAGCGGGTGTCTGGGGGCTCCGGGGCCGCTTTGGCCGCAGGACGCGCTTCCCGCCCCCCCGTCCCGGGGCCGCCGGAAGGCGCGGGCCCACGTGCCGGGGCGGGGCGGGGCGGGCGC